TCTATACAGGCCTGCGATCATGCCATGCTTATTGGCAACAGTACAATAAAGGTCTGACTCCTGACATGCTGTCGCATATTTCTAAGCTGACACAGGCCTGGAGGGCACAAATGCAGAAGGCAGTTCCACTCCAGCAGGCCAGGATGAATCAGCACGTGCCCCCGATGCTTCTAAGGCACCATTAATAATTCACCAGCAAGCAGCAGCATTGATTGTAGCTGAGATGGAGATTTTTTTTTTTGTTAGCTGCATGCTGCAAGTGTAAGCTGTACCCCTCACCTAAAGCCACATCTTACAGCATGACATTACTCAGAGTCCCTTACGAATAATTATTATTTCTATACTTGATGGACATATCGATGGTTATTAGTTTGTTCGACTAATTTAACTATTAATCCTTAACTGGTAGTCTCTCATGGTCAGATGTCATCTTATAACAAGAATACAGGTCTGGGGACAAACATTTAGAGACTGATTGCAGTGAAAATCCACAGCAAACAAGGGTGCATCCTCTAAACCTACTTAAATTCTTCTAGTCCATGCTCTTATGAAGTCCAGATTGATGAGTGCATCCTCGTCCCCTACTTTGAGTTTGGCCTTCATGAGGCACTGGACTGGTACAGAAATTGCACACTAGGTTTGTTGCCACGCAAATAAGACCACATTTCCACACATATTTAGCCCAAAATGTCTCATGGTTGTCACAGACGTTCTTGTAACGAGATCACATCTGGCCTGCGAGACGACTTCATTGGCTGTTCTCTGGTTATGTTTGTAAGGCCAGCAATTTATTCCATGGAGCAATAATAAATCAGAAGCCTTATCACACCAAATGCTTCTTGCATTTTACTGCAATCTTTCAGAAAGACCTGAGTAATTTCTTTTTATCAAAAAAAAACAAAAAATGCCCAAAGAGCATTTTACAGGCTTTGAATATCAGTAGGTGTTTTCGAAGAAGTATCTGAGTACTCATTTTCAAAACTACCTTTAAGCAATAATTTTTGCATTTCAAAATTACCCATAATTTTAAGCATGGTCGTTACCACAGGAGTACTCAGATAAAAATCATCATACTTACATTTAACTCATCATGCCTCCATGATGCACCACCTCTTATATTTCTTACCATCCCATAATTTACAGTGCTCCCATACTTTCTTTCTCTGCTGTTTTGGCTTTAATGGCAGCATGGCAAGCAGTGCAGATTGTTGCACTCTAAGGCAAAGTGATTTTAAGGTATTATAAACAAAATCACAATTTCCATATCATCGCTGTCCAAAGAAAAACATGCATCTCCATTTTTGTCAATTTTTACCTTTCTACATCATTTGAGCTCAGCAGCTGCCCTTTACATTGAGAGAAAATATCATGATGAATGAAATACTTCAAAATTGCATGGAATATTTTTTTTTTTTACATTAACTTACATTAAGAAGTAAAGATGGTTTTTGCCCTCTTCTGCAAATTTACCATTTTAGAAATAGTTGTTTTTCGGTGGACAGCGACAATATGTTAACAACAACTGATATAAGTCCTTGGCTGATGAAATTTATTGATGAAAATTGAAAATTTTTGTGCCCTTAAAAAGATGAAGCTACTCTATCAAAAAAACATAGCTTTATATTTACATTAGTATAATTGGCAAAGAAATGTATTTTTGGTGGTCATCTCCTCACTATCCATCTGTTAGTTTTCTGTTGTCCAAGGTTACAACAGTGTGTCCATTAGAGCAGCTGACATACAACTTAAATCAGAAAACTTAAGTTTAGGCAAATATGTTAGCTGTTGATATCTTACCTTGAAGAATGGAACAAAACTGCCCCCTCCCATTATTCTATCATGCTATGCTATTGGTGACTAATAATATTGTCAACCTGACTGTAGAAATAACAACAAAAAAAAATACACAAAAATCGAAAAATGCTGACATGATCTGTCAGCATTTATGGCTGGCTGGAACACTTGAGTTAGTTATTCAGGCCAGCCATAAATACGTCGACAACACAAGAAAATTTTGTTGCTGCCCTACGTAACAGGACTAAACACTGCTAGAGGTCACCTGGTTTCTGCAAATGGATTATGTACATGCAGAATTTCTAAATAACTCCTCAGCAAAGATACTTCATCTAACCATGCAAACAGCAGGGAATTAACAGCATTCTCTCAGATATTTAACGCATGTGATTTGGTGTTGTCTCTGTAGATGTGTAGTCCACACTAGTGAACCTTTGTCTGTAGTTTTGTAGATAGTCATACCTCAATGCACTGCTTGATCCAGAAGTGGCTGCCCATGGCCTCCCAGTTCTGTGAGCAGCAGATGTACAGGAGCCGCTCGTAGACCCTCCGCTTCATAGAAGCATCAAACACCTCAAAGAACTTCGCCCTAATCAGCGGCTGAGCACAGCGCAGCCCTGACAGGAAGGCCGGCTCCAGCTTTGATGTGATGTCACTTCCTGAGAGGCTCTCATCCCTGAAGAGGAGGGTTCAGAGAGTTAATAAACCTGAGGCTACAGCACCCATGTAATGTCTCTCATTTAAAGATTTCTACTTGATGTTCTCCAACATATGGTAGAATACATAGACACTGAGGCAGGTCCAGGACTTGTCTGGGTGGGGTGAATGACCGTTGACTTAAGGATGCATGCTGGGACCCTTTCATGCCACCTGCCTCTTAAACACCACGCCTGCCCATACCCTTCAGCCACGCGAACCAGGCCTGCCACCCACTAACCAGCTGCAGCCTTGTCGCCATGGCGATTGATGGAGGGCCAGCGTGGCCGCTGGACCCTGTGATTAATCGGCGTAATTACCTGTAGACGTAATTAACGAGGTCCAGAAACTGGGCGTTCAATTCAAGGTCGTCAGGAAAGCGCTTCTCAATGTAGGTCATCATTTTCACCAGCAGAATAGACTTCTCTCTCAGATTAGGCATCTAGGCAGAGACCGAGAGAGAGAGAGAGAGAGAGCGAGAGCGAGAGAGCAGAGGGGAAAAAGAGAAAAGGAGGGAGCGAGAGAAAGAGACAGAAGCAGGGTGAACAGATTGATACACTCCATTTATCTTGAATCTATCAGGAGGGCTGTATGCAGCACCTTTGCCTGCCTCCTTTCTTTCCCTGTCTGCTCTGTTGCCTCAGGCTAACCGAGAGGCCACCTGGGTTCAACCGTCCAGCCAGAGCAGCCTGCCCACCGAGTACAGCTACCACAGCATGACAAAAACACAAAACATACTGTCTGACAAAACACAATCACTTAAAGTGACAGTTCTGCCAAAAACCACCTAAATTTTCCCATAAGGCCAAATGCAGTTAATCAGGCAAGACATGTTCAGCATCTTTTGTGAAGTTCGCTTCTTTAAGCCAGGGTTACACCAGCACCACCCAATATGCAGTCTGGCTGAGTCTGTGCTGGTTGGCTCTAGTCTGCAGATTTTGGGGCAGTTGGAGTGGAGAGCTGGGAGAGAAAATAAAGTAGTCTGTGAGCAGCACAGTGTAGGATTATTTGTCTCCTGATCCCATTTCAGACGAGTATATAGAGTATATCAAACATGATTTTTCTTTTTCTTTTCAACCAGACACTAAATGCAATCTAGTAGCATATACTAGTCAACATCTCAACTCACTCTAAACATATTCCTCTAACAGTCAATTTAACCTAAACACACTAAAGAAGGAAGTGGCACAAATAAATAAAGAGTGCAGCTTTTTACTGGACAAAGTTTAAGGCTCGAGCAATCAAGTGCATGAACATCAAAAACTCTACAAATCTTTACATTCATGACCTTCATCTAAATCTGTCTTGCCAGGTGCTCCATGTTTGTTTATTTGCATCTCATAGTAACAGGAAACAAACATGTGTTCGCCCAAGTTGGTGTGAGTTCGGTTTAGTTCCATAACAACCTGAAAGTTGTTCAGTGAGTATCTTAACACATACAGATGGAGCAAAAATGATGATCGTCTGGTGAGCCCTGAGGACCACTGCTCTTAAAAATGTCAAAAATATGCTGCAAAACTAAAAAAAAAAAAAGAACAGCAGTAGTGCGTCTTGAATCCTCACGGTTGCCCATACCTACATCTACTTTTTTACCGATCGAAGGGAAAATTGCTTTAAACGCGCAGAACACTTAGCACCACATTGTGGCTTAGTGACTATCATAATAAAAACATTTTCCCCACTGCATGTACAGCTGTTCTAATTCCAGATTCAACACACTAAGCCCAATAACACTGTCACTCTGGCTTAAGGTTGGACGATAATCTAAATTAGACAAATTGTTATTATCTGCAGAATTATCATGATAAACAATCATCGAAATATAAGTTCAGTTACAAAGTACCATAAATGATCGTTACAAAACTTTACACTTATAACCTTCAGTTTAGACGATAGTAATAAAAAGATCACAATTATCAACTGGGCTAGTTTCTATATTATGTAATAACTTAAATTATATTCTGCACATACAGCATGTAACACTTAACATCTGTCAAATGGTTCTCCCATATTTAACCAAATTGGCACTTCAATACCCTTCTTCTGAATAAGCTTGTCCATTTTACTTTCTACAGAAGAGTGGATCTCTTGTACCAGACTGATTTGTCTATTATTTACATTTACATTTATGCTTTTAGCAGAAGATTTTATCCCGGTCGACATACTTTTCACCATGTTACAGAGGCAGGCAAAAGCAGCATTAGTAGTCTTGCCCAAGGATCCTTGTTGGTGCTGCACAGGCAGGGAACTGAACCCCAGCCAGCCACATCGAGGGCAGTGGTATTACTCACCATGCCATACAATAATAAAGTGAAATCTTTGCCATTGTATACATTTTGGATTAACCATTGATTAGAATGACTGTACAAACAGAAAGCTTAAATAAAGACCAAAAGATTAATAAATAAAATAATATGGCATGTGAGAGAGTATGAAAGAGTGATAGTCTACATAAGATCAACACTTATTATATGTAATGTAATATGTAATAATATCAATTTTTATTCCAGGGCTACACTGGCTTCTAACACACTCAGAGTCGACCAAGAACTTAATCGTTGAAAGTGTACCTGGTTGGCAGCCATAGGGGAATTGTTCTTGACCCACTCCTCCACAATCTTTACCACAGCTCGCAGGATCTTCGGGTCCGGCGATTTCTCAATCAGTGAGGTGAGGATTACTTGAATGAAGTTCTTCCTCATCTCCATGTTCATGACGGACAGCCTGGTCTTCACCAGGTCCAGACTTAACATGACCAGCTCACTTGTCACTGAGATACAGGAAAGAGAGACGTGTAGATGCGTTTTTATGACATTATATATGAGTGCCATGAATGCATCAGTACATTGTTACGCACTGACTTCAAGTTGGCTATTTAACTGCAATGCTACAGTAAATGTTACAATACACTGCAGTTGATGACAATATTTAGTAAAATATGACCTTAAATTTGTAGAGGATGGGTTAACTTATTTTCACTTAGAAAACAAACAAAACATGTAATGTGACAAGGGGTGTTCAAACTTTCGCATACGACTGTTCCACTACTGTGTAAAAAGTCCATTCAATCAGATGTGTATTCAGTGTATTCTTAAAAATGACTTTCAAACTAACCAAATCAATCTGACTGTAGGTAGGTAAAAAATCTAAAAATAATTAGCCCAATATTTTCTTTTTTGGGGGGAAAAAAAAATAAAAAAAGAAATAAAAACAGGATTATTGATTACATTGCCCCCCCACCACACAAACACATTACTCTAGTATAATCTAAAGACTTATTAATTACCTGTTATAATCCATTCTTTTAAGAGTAGAAGGAAATAAAACATTACAGTTGCATATTAACTGATATTATTTTGAAAGCTGTTTAAAAGTAAAATTAATCCTCTGTCTGTTCTCTTTCTCTTTGGTATATGATTACATCACCTTATTTAAAACACGGTAAAAATTGAGATTGCTAATGCACTAAACCTAATCAAACTGTTGCATGATCAGAGATGTGCCCCCATATTCATACAGCACTATAAGAGATTTGAAAAAACGTCATTACTTTTATCTCATTCTCTCACACACACAAACACACACACACACACACACACACACACAGGCTTCCTTTCAAATCTAAATGAGGACAAATTCCACATAGCTCGCGGCGCAACAAAACCATCAAAACACTAAACATAGCTGAAAAGGCCCAAGAAAAAAATCAAAACAGACATCCCTGTATATGAAGTATAAAAACCATGAAAGCCATTACATGTCTTAACATGGAGACTAAACGGGATTGAGTTTTAGCACGGCGAAGTGCGACTGAGGAAATGCATGAATGTGAATTTGTTCAGCCATCTGAATGCATTTTCTGGCTGATTTGCTAGTGGTTAAAGTCTGAGTGCTGATCAGTGTAGCAGTGGGTAGATGGGGAAACTGTGGGAGCGGCTGATTTTTCGAAGCTATGCGAGGGGCTCATGCTGTGCGCAGGGCTCATGCTGTGCGCAGGGCTTCGGCCCCACTGCCACTGTGACACTGCAGCATGACGTCGACAGACGGCCGTGGGCGGGTGTGCGTATGCGTTTGCCAGTAAGACTGCATGTGTCTGTAAGCACGATACAGTCCAATCCGTTTAAACACCACGATAGCATCTGGGAAAGGTTTTGAGCTGAGAGGTCAGTTTGGAATTTCTAAGCCATTGGACACGGTGGGAGTGTTCTGACTGAGCCGCTTCTCACTTCTGAGGGATTAGTGGGTCCACACAACGACAGCTACACCAGTCCTTCTGCAACACCAAGTGGTCAGATGCAGACACCACAAGCTGCACCCTCACTACTCGTCCTCCTATTCTGCCTCAAGGTGTGTTTATTTCAATGTAGGGAACAGTGAGGAGGGTTAATGGGGAAAGAAATGGTCATCTAATCACAATTCCCTACAGTGTAACACCAAGAATTCTGTTTTATGTAACAGAATTTGTGATTCAAGTAAACTACTTTCTACATGAAGTAAGACAGGTTTATTAATCACTCTGTGATGACAGACACCTTCCGTCAAGGGTATTCTATGGCCGTTACGGAAGACTGGCTGTGACAGAAATGGATTCATTCTGCCTGGTATTAAGCTATATATTGTACGCACAAGTATTAAAAGAGCTATTTGTAACTGAAGCACTTCAGTTAAGATTAGCATCTAAAAGTATGCTATCATGCTGTACTACTGCACAGATAGAAACACACAATTTTTATATTCTAAGTTTTATGTTTTGAACTTTGCAAATACATAGAAATTGCGCACTAAACTTTGCCAAAAAAATCATACAGAAAGTGTGTAGAGGCTGTGCTGTTATTTTTAGAAAATCAACAACTTGATCAAAACGTAATTTCACCGGGGCTGTCGAAACATTTGCATACAACTGAACATAAAAAAGAAATTTCATGCTCAGTGATTAAAGAGGCTGGATTAGACTGTACAACTATCTTGTCTTGTGTGTTGTACTCGTTATTGTTGGCCAGTCAGCAAGCCACTGCTAAACTGCACCGAAGCGGAGGAGGCTTTTCCTCTGCAATCTTTCAGTCACGCCAGATGTGAACTGCACATTTCTAGTGTGATGCAGCTTTAGAAAGTGTCGAGTGGACTCTACTGAAAGACAGTAGAAGACAGCTCAGCTCTGGGCTGAATACAAGAACAGTTCACTCTGCTTTTCTGAAGCCACAAATTCAGAATGAAGTAGACAAGAGACCCATCACAAGTATGAGAATGACTGTGTGCGTGAGAGAAGAGCAGGCCTGAGCGCCCGCAGGTGGCTTTGATGACAGAAGGAGGCCGGCTCTCATAAAACACATTATCGTTTAATGTTGTGCTGGCATGCTACATCATATTAACTTAAAGCGGCTGCTCTGAGACAGTAGTTAATTGGAATTAATTCAGTGCCCCACAGATGACATGGAGTCTTTTAACCGCTGTCAAGAGCCTGTGAATGGATTTGAGAAGTGTCCCAGGACGGCTGCACACCGCTCACCTGCACTGGTTTCCGTGGCGCCAGGGTTGGTCTGTGGGCTCAGGTGTTCACGCACCATCTTCTGCAATGAACGCATGAAGACAGAGATGAGTCGGTCGATGTAGCTGGAGTTGTAGCTGCAGGCAGACTTCAGGATCATGAGTGTTCCTGGAAGCAGAGAGAGGGAGAGAGATAGAAAGAGAAACAATGAGAGAGATAGGGTAACATGATGCCCCACAGAGAAGGGACAATACTTCCCCTACTGTAACGCTATTGCCAGTGTCAGCCAGTGGCCCAGGGGGCAGCTAACGGCTTTGGAGGCAGCTTCTCTGTCACTCTAGTTGTATTACAAGGTCGTTTTGAAGAAATCTGACTGAGTTAGCGGCTGGGGTGGGGGTGGAGGGGATGAGTAATGCTTTTCTTTGCCCGTGCCCCTGGGGAGCGGAGACAAATGTAAAAAGTCACCCTCCGCGAGACACATACATCATATCAGTGGTGTGCGTGTAACTGTACGCCTCCACCAGGGCGGAATTGGGAGGTATTTATTGACCAGCATTGCCATTTCAGGCCCATATCGAGTACCACTAACTTTAGATTGTAATTCAATAGTGTTTTATCACCTTTTGTTCATTTGTAGGTCTTAAGAAACTGCCTGCTGTGTGTAAACTGAGAAACAGGAAACATCAGAGCAGATGCTAGCACTAAAGAAACACAGGTCCCCTTCTCTTAGAAATTTACACTTACTCTTCTTCAAGTCTACAACAAAGCAAGCAAACATTACTCAGCTAACATTTGAGTACTATTCCTACTGGCAACATGGCGATGGAGCCGTCTCTTACCGAACAGCTGAGTGGGGTTGGCACTGGTGGCCTTCTCGTAGTTAGTGAGGCCCTCATAAATGACCTTTCCTACAGCAGCGTACAAGGACTCCAACTCCTCATATTTAGAGGCCACTGAAGAGGTGCCTGAGGACACAGAAGAGACAAAGAGAAAATGCTGGATGTCCTAATAAATCGATGTATTTGTAAAACAGATTGATGGACCTCGTTTTAAAAGTAAACGAGTTAGGCTTCTCAGTAGTCTGTAAGAGAGAGAAGGAAATGAACATAATATACAGAGCTATGTTAATGTAATGTGTTGTCAAGCTATTTTCTGCAAGCTCCTCAACGGGGTTTCTAACAGTATGTTAGCACCAAGCTGTCACTGGTGCACATGAAAATGTTTTGGTTATATTGAGCACAGGCATTTGAATTATTTTAAGCTTATCTGGTATCTTTCAATGAAAAGTCCTGCTACAGAGCTGCATCTGTTTTCAATTTCTAGCACAAACAAAAGAAAAACAACCAAAAACAAATTGGGGAAAGAAACTTAATAATTAATGGCAACGAAATGAGAAGAGATTAAATAAATAAAACACACTTCCATCCTTCCATTCGACTGCGATGGTCAGCGCAGATAAGCAAACAGTTTTGAGCAGCAGAGTGACAAGCTTGTCCACATGGATCTATTTCACAATAGAAACATTAGAAGAGCAACTCATAATCCCTGATCATGTTGAGTATCAAGAGTGGATCTAATGTGCAAGAATTTGTGGTTTTATACCACATGAAAACAACATCCTGCTCAATACGCAGAGCACAGCAAATCAGAAGCAGAAAGCAATGTCTGAGCGCTAATGACATCTGTAGTCAGAGTTTCTGAATTAGCAAAAAGTGCAAACTCTGGAAACGTGTTTTTGTCAGCTTTTTTGGTTTTCGACTGAGTGTGTCCTGAATTTTGTTATCGGCCAAGAATTTTCATTTTGATGCGTCGCTAACCTTCTTATCACGAATCTCATTTGTCCACTAGATGACATAGAAAAAATTAAATAAGGCAATGGAAAAGATGACAGTTTCAAAATTACTCCTAATGTACGCTTATCGACAAATTTATCACGAGTTGCAGAAGTACATCAGGGTGTTGCCAGGAGCCTTTATGTGTGATGTCTACTCACTGGGTTCAGTGGGAAAAATGCTCATAAGTCTGGAGAGCAGAGAGTGGACAGCTCGTAGGACTTTGGTGTTGCCACAAGTCATGCAGGCGGCGATGCCACGCTGCAAGGGCTTGAAGTGGGCCAGGATGGCAGGAGACTGCAGAACAGTGAGCAGGAAACTCAGGATCTCCAGCCCTGTGCAAATGTTAGAGAAGTTGGCCTGGTTGGGCTGCTCCTGTAGAAGAGCAAAAAGGTGTAATCTCAAATGAACAACTCTTATTAATAATATTAACAGAACCATCTGACTCTAATGCTTGAAACAACTAAGAGTGATCATGGAGGATTAATAAAATTCAGCATCATAGTATTTCACATTTGGATGGAAAGTATCATGGCATTCAATTTAAAATTAAAATATTCATTAAATTAATGAACATGCTTTTGTGTACCCGTACATTATGCTAAAAATGTCTTAAAAACCTGACACCCAGACAAATTTTGATTGGATGGTTTGTTTTTTGTTTTCTTTTGTTAAAATTACACCAAATAGTCAATTATAAAATACTGTGTTACAGAAAGCAGATTTGTTTTTTTAAAACCAAATAAAAGTTTCATAAATCATTCAGCAAATTACATACACTGCATTGTTACAGTTAACCACATCTGTTACCCATCAATACTGCTAATTTTGCACCTTTTAATCTTGTTGTGTAACGTCAATACTGGTGCAGATAATATATTACCCCAGCACTATAAATAGGGAAAATCAACAAACAAGGTTCACAGGAGAACCAGCGCAGTTTCCAAACTCAGCAGCTCAAGTCAGAAGCGGAGCTGATTCCAGTAAAGAAGACTAGCGTGAGGCTAAAGTGTCCGGGAAAACGCTGCAGCAGAAGCAGGTCTGGTCCCGAGAGACATGCAGGCAGATCTGCAGTGAAATGCCCATATCTGCAGTGTGTTACTTAATCACACAAAAGCCAGCACAATCAGACAATAAAAGGTGACTGGATTTGCAAAGCACTTCATTAGTGTGGATAGGAGCCTTGGGTAGGCAGCACAACCCTATGTCCCCCCAGGGCCACCAAGACTTGCCTGTTTATTAAACCCAGCCTATAGGTCAAAAAAAGACCAACTTTCAACAAACCGGAGAAAATTCTAAAGCCACTGGCAACAGCCAGCTCACACTGATAGCTTTGAATGTTCCAGCATGTAAAAGATCACAAGAACCAGCAATGAACTCAAAGGAAAGTTTCAAAATGTTAGATTTATCTGTGAGAACCTGGCAGATTAAGAGTCTTATATAAATAGCTTCACATACCACTGTGTACTTTGGACATATGTACACAAACTAAATAGGAAATAGGAAAAAGAAAAAAGAAAAAAAAAATATCCGGGTCACCCACAAAATATGGGGTAGGGTAAAATAAACCATATTTGCGGAAACCAAATGAAGAGTTTGATTGTGCCCTTGGATGGACATCCGCTAACTGTTAAATGCAAAGTGAGAAAAATGAGCCGCTTTCTGGTTTTCACGACAGCCGAAGGCCAAACTCCAGGAATCTACAATTACACGATGCTCCAGACAGACTTATTGCACGCTGGGGAATCAGGCACCATCCGTGCATTTCAATCACAGGCCTACATGAGCCTGCAGCAGGGCACATGTGTCTGGCCCTAAAAAGAATCAATAGCCTGGCGTGTCTGCAAGACAGGAAAACCAGCTCTAATAACAGGAGAGAGAGAGAGAGAAGAGGAGAAGGAGAAATGAAAAAGGGCAGAAAGAGAGAGGGAGAACAAGAGAAAAAGAGACACGAGGTTAAAAGAGGAGGAGAAAAGAGAGAGAGAGAGAGAGAGAGAGAGAGAGAGAGAGAGAGAGAGAGAGAGAGAGAGAGAGAGACACACACACACACACACACAGACAGAGTTAGGGAGACAAGGAAGAGAGAAAAGGAGGGAGAGGGAGATATGATTAAGCGAAAGTGAGAAAAAAAGAAAAACAGAATGAGGGGGAGAGAGAAAAATAATGACAGAGTGAAGGAGAAAAGGGAAGTGAAAGATTGAGAGAGAATGAAGAAGATAGAGAGGGAGAATGAGAGATAGGCAAGGGGTTAAAGGAGAGCGGGAGACAGTGAAAGAGTGAGACAGACAGACCGACCGAGAGAGAGAGACAGAGAGACAGGGGAAAGGGTAAAAACAGGGAGAACGAGAGAGAGACAGAGAGAACACTGAAAGGCCAGTGCAGGTGGGCCAGCTGCTTAACGGAGACCCAGTCTCCCAGATGACAACAGAATTAGTCACAGCTCTCAGCTCACGAAAGAGAGAGAGAGAGAGAAAATCAGTCATAAGCCAGAGGATATCGATTTAGCTCACATCAACACTGCTTTAGGAAAGGCAAAGGAAAAAATGAGGAGGAATGGGAGAAACGGAGGACAGGGCAGACAAGGAGAACTTCTATCAAGACAAAGAGAACAGACAAAGTATCAAAACAAATGTAAAAAGACCTCTTTAAGAATCTGAGGTAAGCAGACTGTTTGATGCATAACTGACACCCATCCTTCATATTATTACCTGAACCATATAACCTAAAATAAATCGTTGACCACCTAAAATCATGTCTGACCATTTCCATCCCAAAGAACAGCCTCTGCAACTCACCACAGTCATGAGTAGCTTGTCGAACCACTGCAGTTTTAGTTCAGCGCGAGGCCACATGTCCGGCCTGAGGGCTGTCTTCATCAGGTTCACACAGCGGCGGGATAGCAGCTCACCAGGAGAACCTGCTACACTGGCACTGTCATTCACCTGCAGAAAAAGAGCATGTAGATGTTAAAGGCGTACATCAGGGAAAACCACATTTTCCATGTTTTTTTGTAGTAGTCCACATAGTCCTGCAAAAAATCTGTTTTATATTTATCGTGATTTTGAGGTCACAACCATTTACATATGACTATCCATTAAGCCTACAGCTGTTTAACCCACCCTTTCACGCTGAAGTACTAAGGAGTGCTGTCACTACAAACAGCTTGGCCGCAGCTGAATTATTGTTAGAGGAAGACGTGGGGAAAAAAATTAAACATTGTGCTATTCTTGGTTGCTGAGAAGCAAATCCATCAATTTACATTTACACAGTCACTGTCAGGCAAAACCTTCTCTCTCAATTTTTGTTGTTTTAATTGCAGTTTTTTAATAGAATTTGAATTGACAAATAAATAAAAAGCCAGCTTCCTTTTCCAATAAAATACGTTAAAATTTTATAATAAATGATCAAAAGAAATTATTAAAAACCACTTGAGAAGAAATGGTTCCATTATTGTCCATTCAAAGTTAACTTATTTCCTTCTACTGAACAGTTATGAGGAGATACAAAGTTTTGCTACAATTTATGCATTAGAATTACTGTGGCCTTCCAATGATCCAGGCATCTATAACAAGTGGCTAAATTAAAAAAAATTTTAATGTCCCTGAGGTTTTCAGTTTAAATTGTTGTTCTACATTTCAGCCTGGACTGCTTTTTAAAGAAGGCACAGCACACAAACAAGCCAATCAGAACAGATATCATTTACATATCAATCTTAAAGTCTCAATAACAAATGCATTCTGTTTCATTCTAAGGAACAAAAGAGAGCTGGAAACGAATGTTAAAATGAATGATAACAGTTTTCAGTTTCATAAAACCATAGAAATGCTCCAAGTTTACTTCAGCAAAAAATATAGGATACAATAAAAATAGAATACGGTCTCTTTAAAGTGGCTAACAATGAAGGACAGCCAGTAAAAACCAGACAGCATGATGATCTTTGCGTAAGGCTGCCTGATCCCCACCAGCTTTCATTTCCTATTACCAACAACAGCGCAGGACGGAGCTGCTCATTTACCTGGCAGGCAATGCGGATGAGGAAGTTGACCACAGTGTCCGTGTGCTGTTTCTCCACAGGCTTGGTGAGCAGCGTCTCTGAGCCTGGCATTGACTGACTGCGGCCAAACACCTAGCAAGAGAAATCCAAGCTGTAAAAAACACCTCGCTAAGGCCCTTGTGTCCAAACATGGCACTTCGAGTCAGCGAGTGAGAGATGGGAGAAAGTGGATGTGCCGACTCGTTGCTAGGTGTAGAGTTTCCTCACCGTGCCGACAGCTCCTGTGGCTGACCGGAACCTCTTCACGTCCTGAGCAGAGTCCACAGACATGCCTCGTTTCACTCCCCCTGAGCCCGAGCTTGTTCCCTCACCGCCTGTGCCGGGGTCCGCTTCTGACTCTGGCTACAAAGGAAGTAAAAATATTTACAAATCAATTAACAGATTTTGCAAATACCCTTAAACAGGGTAAAATTAACATCATAAACAAACACACAAACACTGTTAGTGCAGTCATTTATTTTATTTTTAAATGGCTATTATTACAGATCTGAGTCAAGAACTCCAAGTACCAAGTGAACCACTAAAGGTTATATCAGGCAATAAGGGTGCATTTATACACAGCTGCATCTTAGCTCCACTTTGCTTAGCATAACATTTAACATCGAACCAAAAGATGTAAACAAAAGACATACAGGTAAAAGGCTACAAGTGACTGGGCAGATTTTATGTGGCACAATAACTGTGGTAATGTCCACCAAACTTTTTGAATCATGCTGTTCTCTCTTCTACGTGGGCTTGTTGGTTTATGTCTTGTTTTATCTATCTTTTTTTTTTTAAATCTATGACTTTCGAGCAATAAGCCATAAGACTCTGTGTTACCATGGCTTGCAAGACGCAAAGTAGGGTGAAATCCCTGTAACACAGCTTTGAGTGGCTTACTGCTTTCACAAAATGGAAAAACCCTGGCAGCATCCTCACTTGCTCTGATGTACCGTCCTCACAGACCACTAGGGGCTTGTTTTAATCGAACCAAACCTACCAAATCTGAACCCTTATTTCTCTGAGGTTAACCAGAGGTTAGTTTGTTAACTCTCACACATATTCAAATCACCTAATTACTCAGAACACATATCATTAGTGGGGATATTTCTGCTATAGTGTCTTGTACCAAGGAGCTTTGCATTAACTCCCAGCCTTATGTAACAATCCATTTTAACACTAAAAGTAGCGAGCCAGCTAACTCTCTTACAATCATGTGTTCTTAAAAATTAAGTATCTATGATAATAAAACATTTGATTTCAATAAAGATCATTATTATTTCATTGCCTACTTTAACAGATTTATCTTGGTTACAACAACTTGTACAACGCTAAAATGCAACAATTAAAACTCCCATCCACACCTGTTGATCTTTGATCCTTTGCAGCTCCCATTTAATGACCACTTCAGCCAGGTCTACAGCCAGTTTCCTCTGCTCTATGGTGACGCTGGGGGTGAAGCCCAATCGCTGCATGGCACTGACCATGTGCTGTACCAGGTGATGTCTCACAGGGTAGTATACCTAACAACACATGCGTGCAGAGAGCACAGTGAAAAACTGACATAATAAATCACTGAGTGGGACAGCAAACAGGCACCCTTAAAAAGTGCAGTGGCATACCCTGAAGTGCTGCACGATGAGATGCAGGATGTGCACCAGCTGCGGCACGGTATGGCCTTCCTCCACAATGATCTTCCGAGTCCAGTGGGTGAGCATCTGGTGCCCATCCTCCATGCGGGCAGGTACCGCTGGTGTGAGGATAGCCATGGCTTGTCGCACGATGGCACGGGCCTCCATAGTGTGAGCTTTCAGCAAGCTGTGGAACACCTACACATGCAAAACATACATATACACATTACAAGTGGACAATGCAAGAGTATATAAGCAGATAATCAAAGTAAATACGCACCTACAGCCATATGGAAAAGTTTGGGCAATACTGTTAAAAAATGGTGTTTTAAATGGTGTTAAAAAGTGAAATCTATGCAACAATACAAAACACCAACAACATATATGTACACAAATTAGGGATTCACAGTAATAGTGGAATTGGCAGATAATAGCCATAGCGAAGACTGATTTGATTTCGTAAGATATTATTTTATAAATAATAATAATTTAAAAAAAAAAACTACAGGCTATCCGAGATGGTGAAGCCACTCAGCATCGAACTATTACTGTGCAATATTAAACCCAGACTCTGACCACAAATCCATAGCAGGGAACATGTGGCTTAAAATTTACACAGAGGAAGGCAGTCAATCAAAAGTCTATAAAATAAACAAACACTAAACCTCTTTTTCACCTGAGCTAGCGCTACTAGCCTAATGACAATGTATTTCACTTCATGCTTTTAGCTTGAAAAGTATGTGTTTGTAAAGAACTTGATAACTGATATGAATTGTGATAAATTCACTACATTACGTTGAAAGTTTTATTCAATTCAATGAGCTTCCTGCTTATCGGCCTCTTTACTATTTGACTAATATTTGATTACCAGACCGATGTTTACATGTTTATCAGACCATTAATCAAACCGATATTTGAGGACACATTTACTGTATTCTAGAAGAGCAGAAAGTCTAGGCGACGCTGTATTATATTTGTTTTACTGCAAATTCCATAAATGTTATAGTTCTCTGTATTGATAATCAATGTGGATTTTAGCCCCAATTTCAGGATTGGCACTAACACATGAAAAATACTTAGTATCAGCCCAGAATTGTCATATCAGTGCATCCATAACAAGAATTTATATTAGACAATATTCAATTACATTAAAAATATGTAAACAAAAATACCATTCTTACACTGTTTTATACAAAATTTACTTAGAACTAAAGCACATTTACAAAATGAATCCAATTCTCAGTGATTTGAAGAACATTTAACTGCTTGCTCCTAATCTTCTAACCTGCAGGACGATCTTCTTGTGAATGGCGAACTTGGCTATGATGTGGGCCAGGAGCAGGTGGCCGCTGTACTTGCAGGCAGGGTCCACACAGGCTTTGGGCAGCAGGCAGGGCCAGGCAAATGTCATGAGGCGCCTGAGCTTGCTGTTCCTGCTCTTGTTATTGTCATGGATGTGGTGGGGCGCGTGTTCCACCAGCAGTGTAGAGAACTGCAGCAGGTTGATCCTCAGCGAATCCAGAAGGTCAGCCTGCTTCTCTGGGTCTAGCACCTGCAGGACAAGATCACAGGCAGGTCACATGACTACCATCTCGCTTTAACTACAACAGCTGAATATCTGAGGTGGCTAAGGAGGACGGGGCTAAGAGGGTGACTGATTGCCACAGTTATTGCCAGGAGGGGAAGAGACAATCAATTTGAGCGTGAAAAAAATAGAGGCCATTAACCCGAAGCTTTATTTGTCTCAGCTATAATCGGATTCGAAACAACACAAACACTATGACCTTTATTGAGGCTGTGACATTTCTTCCAGGCAAATAACAGCCTCGGGTCAGGGGCCTTGATGAACATGACGCTTGGTAAAGAGAGAGTGACAGCTTTGTCGCAGCAGCTAGCGGAAAAGTATGCGGATAGAACAGGTTACCTTGGTGATGAACACACTTGTGATGCTCTCTGGATTGTCTCCCTCGGGGTTGGGGGGTCCCAGAAGCTGCTCTCCCTCGCCTTTCTCAAAGCTGTACAGAAAGGCTGGGTGCAGGATGTGTTGCAACACCTTAAAAAAAAAAAATAAATTAAATGCATATATATATATTATTTTTTTTTATATGACACCAACAAACACAAATCAATCCATAAACAAAGAATTACATTTATCATTCTCTCAGATCAGCAATAAAACAGCAATACTGCTTCAAAAGCTAAGCCAAGACTGCTTTAGTGACTAGCTTGTCAAGTATGTGATATAATTTATTACTTGCAAAGCACTTGCTTAATAGATCAACCTCAGGCAGATTTGTCAGCCCAGGCTAGAATAAAGCCATTAAAAAGTGTGACGAACAGAGAATGAGAAGAGACGGGTGCTGGGTGGCGGCTCTGATTTCGAATCATGGACGGCAGTTCATTCTCCAGCTCCGTGATATTAATCACACTGACATGAGCGAACATTACAATAATAATATCATTAGACCATTTGTGTTCCCCTCTGGCTTTCCTGCTCAACTTTCAGGGATGGAAAAGACAGCAAAAATGTGACGCATGTGTGATAAAACACGTGTGATAAAACTGTCAAAAATGTGCCAAACATGCACAAGAGATAGAGAGTGAAGGAAACAAAGCAAGAGGAAGAGAAACAAAAGATGTATAAAGAAGGAAAACAGGAGAAAGCAAGAAAAAAATCCTTTGCTTTTTCTTACATTTTTTTGGACACCATTGTCCTCATGACTATCTGCCCTATATACACAATGACAGTGTCACCTCTACCAACAGCTCTCCAGGACAAACGTTCAATCAGTAAATTTAGCACATGCCTGATCACTCAGCATCATGCAGAGTAAAACCATCAGTCTAAAGTAATTACACAGAACAAAGTTGAGGACTGGATGTCAGCCCCTCTGGCTTACTTAATTTTTAATGCACCGATGGTAACTACAGACTTGCGGGTCACAGATATATTAACCATTGCTTCATTTAGGAAATGGAGAAGCTGGTGAATAAGAAGCTGACTTCAGATTCACCATTTAGGCAGAATAAGTTGAACACTAGTTTAACTGCTCATTAACGTTTTAACGTTTTTTTTCTCTCCCACTGATAAACACAGCATTAGCTAGCCTTGTGGGTAACCTAATTTAGCAGTTAGCAGTGTTAAACATATACATATATAGCTCAACTACTGTACTACACTCAACTACCATAACATTAAATGTAGGCTAATTGTGATTTCTGCCCAACAGTACCGGTTTTCACGTTACTACAGCAAACGTAGGCATGGCCGACATGAATGTTGCCAGGCTTATTTGGGCTGAGAGGAGAAGTGATGGGGACAACTATGAACTCACCATGAACACTGATAACCTTTTTGTGAGGTAAGGTTACTCTGTTTGACTCCGCCTGAGTCAGCTGATTGTTGCGATTTGTGGCACGTGTGTGTTGCCAACAGGGCAGCTGCAGAGTGGCCTCTGATGGACAACTACACAACACTCAAAACACGATTTAATGATCTGTCTTCCACCTCTTTTTTCTTTTTGTCATTTATCGTTCGTTATGAATGTCTAGCACGTTATGCAACTAACACATATCTGTCGGTAATATCAGCACGCTGATTTAT